AAAAGGAAAAACCAAACCACCCTAATTCATATATAATGATTGGTTCGTAACACAAATTAAAAAGTACTCGACAAAGTACTCTTATATTTGACTTTGAATTCGAAAAATATCTTAAATACAGGTGCCCATCTATTTATATAATGACTAATTGATTGCACAATCCTCTCCCCTCGATTCAGATCACCCTTTTCGTTCGTCCCAACTCTTTCATTTGCTACTCACTAATTGATAGCCCTCACCACCTCATCTCACTCTTATTTGTGTAAAAACTAATCACCTCTAGAAACTAATTTTTGAAAAAATTATTCGAACCCGTCGTTTAGCGCGGGTATACGGCTAGTGTGTATATATATATATATATATATATATATATATATATATATATATATATATAGTTAGGTTCATGTGAGACCATCATATTTTGTGAGACACGGTGACTTAATCCTAGCCATTCATTTTGGAGATAAAAAAAATTTAAAATGCAAAATAAATGACATTTTTTGAAATTTGTTTTTAAAAAATATTATTTTCGTCATTTTTTTATCAAAAAAAAAATAATAATAAAAGGTACCATTTTTTTTTTCAAAAAATACATGAAATATTCTAATAGAATATTATACTGTAAATATTCAAATCGAATTTTTAGAATTTTAGAATATTCTACTAGAATATTAAACTATAAATATTCAAAAAAATTTAATAGAATATTAGAATATTCTAATAAATCTAAAAATTCAAGTAGAATATTAGAATATTTTAACCTATCGATCAATTTTAGTAGAATATTATAATATTCTAACATTCTAAAAGTTCGATTTGATTATTTACGGTGTAATATTCTATTATAATATTTTACTCATATTCAAAAAAAAAAAAACGGTGATTTTTATTTTTAAATTTTTTTTTGGATAAATTAAACAACGCAAATAATATTTAAAAAAAGAATTTTTGGATTTTTCTTATTATTTTCCATTTTATAATTTTTTATTTTTATTTTTTTGATCTCTAAGATAAGTGCTAGGATCGCGTCCTCATGTCTCACAAAATTAATATGGTCTCAAATGATCGTGTATATATATATATATATATATATATATATATATATATATATAATATAACTTATCGATATTTTTAGTTTGCAACCTTATCATCATATATATTATTTTTTCTATTTTTAATAATATATTGAAAATATAAATTTTAATAATTTCATTTTTAACTATTTTTATATTTCTTTTATATAAAATACTACTTTATTTTTATTTAATTATATTTGAAAAGTACGAAAAAAAAATTACAATTAAAATACATAATTCGATATTATCAAACAAAATAAGTATAACATATTAATTTAATTTTTAAAAGACTTTCATAATATCATACACGATTCTTGTTAAAGTGTATATTACATTTTCCACATTAGTTAGTCATGTTAATTTTTGTATTTAAGTTTGGTATATATATACACTAATCAACATTAAACTTATCGAAGTTTATTTTTATTAATAAACTAAGTTTAGTTAACGATTTGTTAAATATGATGAGATATAAAAACATTATAAAAATTGTGTTATTTTTAACAACTATATATTCACAAAATATCTCATTTTTATTTAAACAAATTCATTATTTCTACGGGAAATTGACTATTGAGAGGATCAACGAACAGCTGCAGACCATATCTGCAACCTCTACAGTAAAAAAGATAGACCAAACGACTGCAGTCTATAATAAAAAACATTTTGTTTTTTAATCTCTGCAGTAGACTGAAATTTAAATAAACTAATTTTATTAACCTGAAAATAGTTCTCAACGCCGGAATTTTAATAATTATAGTTTTAAAACATTTAAAAAATAGTAAAAAGAACATGCAAAAAAAAATAATAATAAAATTTCTAAAAAAAATATAAAAGAAGCTATCAGTTTTATTCTACAAAATAACTAATTTTAAAGAACATAAAAAAGAAAATAATAAAAAAAATTAACAAAATATTTCAAACAATGTCTACAAAGTTCGTAAAATAATTATACATGTTAAAAAAATGTAAACAAAACTGAAAATATTATTAAAAGAAACGGTAAAAAAAATAAAATAATCAACGTTTTTTTAAAAGAAAATCAAGTTATAAAAAATTACGGAAATTATAAAATGAAATTCTATTAAATCCCTAAATCAAAGTTAAAAAAATAAAATAAAATAAGCTATACCAAATTTCAAAAAAAAAAAAAAATCACTTTGGTAAAAAATAAAAGTCGATGAGGTTTAAAGATGCAAGACAAGTGCTATGCCACGTATAACACGTCCATATGTTTTGTAGTCTGAAGTCTTCCAAAAAACAAACTGCATGATGTGAAAGGGCAAGTGTTGCACGTAAGACTATACGGAGTGGGTGTGGCCTGGACCGCACTCCACTTGCCACATAAGCACGAACACCGCCCCCTGAGTGCGGTCCAGGTGTAGCCTAGGGTGCACTGCGGCCTTCGGAGGGAGCGGTCAATGGAGGAATGTGATTGGGTAGCGCATTTGACCGTTGCAAACAGAAAAAAATGAGTTTTTATTTTTTTTTATTATTTTTTTTCTTTTAAACTTTAACATCTATTTAAACCATTCAACCATTCATATATTTTTTTGTTTATCTTTCTACTACATTACCTCTCAAAAAAATCAAAAAAATGTCTTCGTCCGATTCTTCTGAAGAGTTTGATGTTATGTTCGATGTTTTTGTCGTTGCTGCTAAATTTATGGAACAAACGTATGAAGCGACATGCAGTAGGGCATCCAGCAGTGCTGAACAGAGAACACGAAGATATATTTTTAGAAATCGTGAAGATGCAAATGAACGTATGGTACACGACTACTTTCAAGAAAATGCCACTTTTTAAGGATACTACTTTAGAAGGCGCTTCAGAATGTTCAAACCATTGTACGAACATATAGTCGAAGATGTAACGAGGGAGTGTGATTTTTTCGAGCAACGGCCCGATGATAGAGGTACACCCGGTTTCACCCATTTACAAAAATATACAGCTGCACTTCGTCAATTAGCATATGACATCCCTCCCGATGCGTTGGACGAGAGTTGTAGGATGTCAGCTAGGACCGCACGAGATAGTCTACACTATTTTTGCAAAACTATTATTCAGTTTTATGATCCAAAATATTTACGTAAGCCTACACGCAATGACATCATGAAATTGCAATCTCATCATGCTAGCATACATGGCTTTCTTGGAATGTTAGGAAGTTTAGATTGTCTATATTGGGCATGGGAAAATTGCCCTGCCTCACACCATGGTCAATTTACCCGAGGTGATCATGGACATCCAACGATCATACTTGAATCGGTGGCATCACAGGATCAATGGATTTGACATGCTTTTTTTTGGTTCTCCTGGGTCCCTCAACGACATTAATGTTCTTAATCGTTCACCTATATTTAAGAACATATACGATGGATCTGCACCAGATTCTTCTTTCCAATTGTGTGGAACACCATATAAATATGGTTATTATCTAGTTGATGGGATCTATCCTGAGTACGCAGTTTTTGTTAAATCGTTTACGTGTCTGAATGATACTCGTCGGAAAAAATTCAATAAAGCTCAAGAAAAAGCTAGGAAGGATGTCGAACGGACTTTTGGAGCTCTTAAGAAACGTTGGTTTATATTGAAAAAACCAACAATTTTTTTTCAGCGAGGAAAAAATGCATGCAAGTCATGTATGCATGTATAATTAGACCTGACAAACGTGTCGTGTCGTGTCGGGTCAAGACATTAAATGAGTTGAAAGGGCTTGACCCTAACCCGACCTGTTTAATTATCGTGTCGTGCCGTGTCAACCCGTTTATTTTCATATCGGTTTCATGTCGGGTTTCGAGTTAAGGTTTAGACCTTGTAAATATGTTGTGTCATGTCAGGTTGAAATATTTTAAAGGTTGGAAAGTAGGAGTTGTGGAAGCAAAAAGGAAAAAAGTGAAACACTGGAGTTATGAGATGGAATGACAAAATTTATAGTAAGTTTAGAAGGGAAAATGAAAAGAGTTAAAGTTGGGGAGGATGACTAAAATTAAGTAACTTTGAAAATTTGAATATTACTTCTAATTCTTGAGTTTGACCTACTATAAGTCTATAACATATAATATATTTATAAAATATGAAATTTATAATAAATAATATATAATTAAACGGGTCATATTCGAGTCATCTTCGAGTTGAAAGTCTTGACCCTAACCCTACCCGTTTAATTATCGTGTCGTGCCGTGTCAACCCGTTTACATAAACGTGTCGAAATCTCTGACCTTAACCCGCTAATTTCGTGTCGGGTTTTTGTGTCGTGTCATGTTTTGTCAGGTCTATGTATAATACTGCATAATATGATTATCAAAAATGAAGGAAGAACGATATGTGAGTATGATGAAGAGGAAACCATTCCCGCGAAACAAACAATAGAAATTGGGGGTGACGAGTACATTGAAAAGTGAGCAGAGGTTCGTTGCAATAAAACATTTCACAATCTTCGTATGAATTTGGTGGAACACATTTACGGGATGCAACACATTAACCTCAATTTGGATCAGGAGGATGACTCGGAAGACGAGTTCTCGGAGGACGACTTCATGTAGTGTGTTTATTTAATCGTTTAATGTATGTTTTTTTTTGAGTTTGTAGGTTTAAAATTTCTAGTGTTTTTTTTTTTTTTTGAAGTTTGTAGGATTTTTATTTGAGTAATGGAATGTAATGTTATTTTTATTTTGAAGTAATGAAATGAATGGTTTTTATTAAAAATATAGTTTTTACTTAATTAAAAAAAAACCAAAATGTTACACCATTCCTTGGGTATGGTATGAAACCATACTATTGTGGTAACGAGTGACGTGACACACCAGTCCCTTCAGCCTAATGGTGTGAAGAGGTTTTCTAAAATAACAAAAAACACCCCATAGCTTTACGAAGGGCATATATGTAAATTCGTAAATCAAACTATTATATCTGTTTTTATTGTTTACACGGGAGGGAGAGGGTTTATGTAATGCTCTCCGGCTGCTCTCCTCTACCTCTGTGGCTCTGTATCTCGCTCTCCGTTCAACCACCACCGTTTGGTATGTACTAACTGCTCTTGACTCTCTTTTCCATTCGCGTTCGCGTTGAGTTCATGCTCTTTTCCAAATTTGGATGTTTTCTATGCCGACATTACAAATATTTTGCTTAAGTTTGAGGTTTATGCCTTTTGCAGAATACATGTTAGGGTTTTAGGTTTCTGAGTTTGAAATCTAGTGGCCTATACTGTTTCAACTATGTTAATTTAACGACTTCAGGTGACTTATTCTTGATTACTGTTGCATTGCTGCTTCAAGTTTGGGGTTTATGCCTTTTGGATAAAGGACTTGACCTGAGTGATCCGATTCCTGAAAAAAACTATTGCGAAAATAGTTGTTGCCTTGTTGGTAGATACCTAAATCCACAACTTGTATTATTAAAGAGGTATACCTTTGACCTTTGTTAGGAAAATCATAGAAATCCCCATATATTATAGTTAACTAGAAAAATCAGGTATTATGACTGTATAAAGTTTTTAATTTTTTCATCACATTCTGATTTTTGTGTTCTTTAGGTAAACTTAGCCTGCATCTCTCTTGTGTATGCTGTACGCATGGGCTCTTTTGTCTTGAATCTTTGATAAATGTGCTATTATATTCTCATTTGTTAGTAGGCATTCGTTTCTTGTCTTGATTATAAAGGAATAATATCGTATGGAATAGTTATTTGAGTAGAACACATACTTAAGGTTTGCTTCACTTTAAATATAAAGCTTGAGTTGGTTTTTGTAGATTGATTTTGTTGAAGGAGTGGAGAATTCTTCAAATAAAATGAAAAAAGTTCAGAAAAGGGACATTAGTTCAGATGATGATGATGATAACATCACATATCAACTTCAGAATGTAAGTAATTCTTTATGTTTTTCTCCTCTCAAAATAAACTCTCTTAGAGTGTATATATATAGAGAGTTAATTTTTTTTTTCTCATTGTTTATTTTCCTCTATATTCTACAGGTGGATAATGAGAAATATAGAATTGAGGATCATCATACTAATGGAGATGAAGATAGTGATGATGAAGAAGAGTATCACTCAGAAATAGAAGTTATGAATGTAAACAGAGCTTCATTGCATCTTTATCTTTGTTACTATATATTATTTATTTCATTGCAAATGAATTGATGGATGTAAAACATTTTGTTGGCATAGTTGGAGAATGAGGAAAATGTTTCTGGAAATGAGGACAGTGCTTCTATGGGAGATGATGATGATGATGATGATGATGATGTAGACATGAAAACAGAAGACAACAATCATTCTGATAGGGAAGAACTCGAGAAGGAAATAAATGATATATGCCACCAACAACAGTAAGTCCCTTATTTTATTTTATTTTTTTGTAATTTTTTTTTACTATGGCATAAATTCAGATACCAAATCATTCGCTCTTACATAATTTTTTTTTCTTGTGAACTTTTGCAGAGACCTTTTCAGAAACATAAGAAGAGACCCAAACGAGGATCTTCAAAAAGGCAAAGCAGTAAAAAATCAAGGGGTATATGAGTCTTTTATATATTGTTATATTGTGTTTCTACTTTCTAGTTATTCATACTTGATAATTTTCCTGTTGTTTCTTGTGGATTAATCCATTATCATTGATCTTTTTCAAGGCTCTCTGGGACAAAACTCTTGAATTCAGATTTTTACTACAGAAATCATTTGTAAAATCAAATCGACTTCCACAGGTTTACTTCAAATCACAAAAAAAATTTATACTCTTTTTAACATCTATATCTATTAAGCTGAAACATCAAACTTTTTCACTTTGAAAACTCTCTACAGGAGCCAATCAGATCTGCTTTCTGCAATTCTTGTGAAGAAGTTAAAGAAGCATATTCAGACCTAATTGATTCAACTAAGAAAACCCTAGATTCTATTCTTAAATTGCAGGAGGTAAGATATTTTTTATAACATAATGAGTAGTTTATCTTTTGTTCTACTAAATGTTTATTAATGAGAACTTCTGTTAATAGGCACTTGTTGAAAAGAATCCCTCAATTGTGGAAGCATCTACTAAAGGTATATTGCAGAATAAACTATTGGGCTAAATGCAAGAAATAACAAAATACATATTGTATTTTTCATTTATTGTAATAAATGTTGTCTTTTTACATATTTGTCTTAATTGAAGGTGATGCAACTGTAGATGCTTCCAGAAAAGGAGATGAAGAATGGTTCAAGATTTCTCAAATGCAGTTTAGGTATTTACTTCCGTTTTTATTATGATTAAATTTGTATCATGAAACTTAAATTATTTCCCAAGTGTTGACTCTAATTTGACTACATTTTATTAATAATATCACTATGATGCAGAATTGCTCCATTTAGAGACATGTCAGTGGATAAATGGCAGAGGAAGACACAAGTGACAAGTGGCATCAAAAACAAATTTCAAGCTTTCAATCAGGTTAAATTTACAAGTTTGCCCTCTTAATAAATATGCTACTAGTATTTTACTCTCACTTATTATTCGACTGTTGCAGAATATCAGTGAACAAGTTGCATTTTACATGCGGGACCCAAGTAGAATGATCAAAGGGATGCAACAAAGGAGATCTGTTGTCCCACTTTTTGGAAATGTAACAACATTTATTTGTATGAAAGATGAGGTATGTAATGACTAATGACATATTTACCCCTGATTAGGTAACAAATGGTGATGGTGATCCCGAACTACTGGATGACTCGGAATTCTATCAACAATTATTAAGAGAATTTTTTGAGACCATTAATCCGGAATCTTCAGCGGAAGCACGTATTGCACTCAAGAGATTACAAGCTCAACAACCCGCGTTTTATGCCCTCAAAAGTCTACAAACAAAAAAACGTAAAATTGTCGATCGACGCGCTTCTAAAAGCCGGAAGATCAGGTATGAAATGACATATTTACCCCTACCAAAGGAAACTATATAACTTTCCTTGACATTCTGAAATGAATTTTTATTTCACAGGTATCATATCCATGAGAAGATTGTGAATTTTGTGGCCCCTGAGTCTGTGAAGATGCCTCCAATGGCCCCTAAGTTATTTGAAAACTTATTTGGTCTTAAAACTCAGAAACTTGCTTCAGTGTATTAAAAACATATTCAATTTATTATTATTATTTTTTAAAATGTTACATGTATATATCTTTGGAAGTTTGAAGTTATAGTGGAACTTGGCTTTTCTTCGTTGGCCTTTGTGTGTGGGTGATTTGAATTAGGGGAAATTACAGTTTTGGTCCATGTGCTTATGGGAAAATCATGAATTGCATATCTGTGCTTTCAATTTGTGGCAGTGAATTTAGAGCTGTTGAGAAAGTGTAAATGAAAAATTTTTACCTTCAATTTTGTGTTTTGAAATCGAATTAAATGTTAATTGTTTTAGACTTTTAGTGTATTCGGCACAATTGAAAATTTTCGTAGGTCAACGTGCAAAATATGCAGCTGTTTTACCAGAAAAATAATAACCAAAAGATAGATTAGTAGTAAACACAGACTTTAGAGAGAATATTCGAATGAAGCTTCAAAACGTGTTATGGTAATTTGTACACCATTAGAGTGATTGAAAACTGTAATTATGATGTCTCTTTGATATATTGGTCCTACTTTGGTTAATGATGAAACGAACAACTTTGTATAAATAGTTTGGTTGTCCAGGTGTAAATTTACATAAAACTTTTATGGCGTTGTTATCTTTTTAAATTAGAAAAAAGTTTTCAATTTCAATTCATAACACTTAAAATAATATTGGCCTCGGGAAAATTACTAGTAGGGTAACTAACTGTTGGTTTTGTTTACATTCATTTTATTTTGCTAAAGAAAACATTTGTGTATAGTACAAGCCCCGGTTTTTACATTATACTCATTGTCATCTTCTCCTCGTATCAACGTTATCATTAGAAAGAGTCCACTAATACTCATTGGATATCTCACGTAAATCCATGTGTAACAATTGGTAATTTTAGGTCGAAAAACGTCGACCAAACCACCGCAATAAAAATTTTATATTATGAACCGAGGAATGAAATGATGGAATAATAAAATATATGTGGGACATTTTTAAATCTATAACCACTTTCCAAACATCTCAACCCATTAAAATATTGTTTAATAATAAAAAGTTTTTTTTACAAGTATCGTGGCATGCCACCTAAAATTAAGAATTTGTTTTAAAAAATTTGAACATCACTAAATGGGACACTACTAACCACTTGTTTAATTAAATCACATTCATTAGTTGGAATGACATATTTTTACTTAACCAACATAAAACCATACCTATAGTAATAGCTAGACTTGCGTACACCACCTAGAAAACCCCATATCTCAATTATCATAAAACAGAAACCAATAATATCATACAATACAAGAATTCATGATGAAAAATAGTGGTTGTACCTCAATGCCTATTTCCCTACATGGAGCATCTCTCAATTGTCACAACTAGTTATTTAGTATCATGATTATATAAGAACAAATGGGCATAACTTCAATTGGCTAAAACCCATGTTTCTTTTACAAAGACTACAATTGAAAAGAACTTTTGCATGCAACTTGTACAACATAAACTATTGCCCACATCACATGAGACCCACATTACAAATTTATAACCATATAAATCCCATACATCTTCTTCCCTTGAGGCACCCCAAAAACGCACGTAAACATTCACCTCTTCTACTTTTCTTTGCTGATTTTGAGCTGGAAGTTAGAGACCATAAACCCATTTTGATTGATCGCCCAAAACAACTTGAAATCTGCATAAGTACCGGTTTTAAAGGTGACACAAGAAGCCTTCCTAAAAACAAACAAGTCTCGGGTTTGGATCACGCAACAAAGGTGAGTCTTTATGGCCCCTTTTCTTTGAGTTTTACAAATTTTGGGGGGAGATACATACATATTTTGCATGCTAGATAAGAAAGTATAATACCATAAAATGTCATATACTCTTAACATTTTCTCTAACGTATTACCACCCAACGTCTTATCTATATCAAAACAAACATGCAACGAGTATACGAAAATATTTCATACATGATAAACTAGTGTAACACCCAAATTTTCAAAACAATTTTTCACATTTTATAAAACACGTTTTCATTCATAAACGTTATAAAAACACCATTGTATCACATAACATCATCTCCCAAGATCATAATAAAATCTCCCCGCGTGTGTACTGATCAAGCCGGCGCCTTCCCGCGATCCTCGCTGGTACCTGAGACACATAACACAACACTGTAAGCATAAATGCCTAGTGAGTTCCCCAAAATACCACACATAACACATATTAGCCACTCGAGGCTATAACTCTGTTTGACACTCTGGTCAAAGTGTCTCTGTGGGACCCCCCAGTCCCATAACTCTGTGGGCCCTCTGGCCCTAACTCTATGGGTCCTCTGACCCTAACTCTGTGGACCTTCCGGTCCTAACTCTGAAAACTCTGTAACATACATAGCATATAACACATAGAAATCACATCATGCAAAAGCATACACAATACTCTGTCTCATAGCTCTAATTACCACTCTAGGTAAAGTATAGTGAGAAGACTCACCTCGGTTAACTCGGTAAAGCTCGAACTCTGTAAAGTCGGGTCTAGCCTCCGCCTAATCATATGAAATAAACACTCTGAATCAATACATCTCTCAAGGCTAGACTATTCCTCCTCTTAGTACTCTCAGAAGGGTAAAAGACCATTTTACCCCTCTCATGGCTCAAAGACCCTAAAGTTGACCAAACCCTAAAAGTCAATAAAGGTCAACGGTCAAACTTTGACCCGACTCGCCGAGTGCACTTGGGCGACTCGGCGAGTCTACACGTGCCCACTATCTTTCTGATCTCGCATGATACGTCGAGTCTTTCCCCTTACTCGACGGGTGACACCTGGCATGAATCGCGGGGCCACCCCGACTCAACTCGCCGAGTCTGTTCATGGACTCGGCGAGTTCCGCCTTGAACTCCAGTCCTCTAATTCCCTCCGACTCACTGAGTCAACCCTATGCTCCACGAGTCGTCACAGATTGCGAGTCGCGGGGCTACCCGACTCTACTCGTCGAGTCCGTTCATGGACTCGGCGAGTTCATTCCATGCACATCCTCAAACAACTTCCTGAGGTCAGATCCAGTCCTCTAACCAATAGATCTATCATTCCCAAACCCAATAACCACGTAAAGTTTCCATCTTGATGCACATACAACATCTATTTGATCATATATGATGATTTAGCCCCAAATACCATAACTCAAGGTCATAGCCTCCATTGTTATTCAAAAAGCTTAATGAATAAGGCTCTCTGGACCTCTATGGATCCAGATCCAAAGCCTCCTCATCATAAGGGACTATTTGGGCTTCAAATCTAAGCAACAAAGGGTCTAAGAAACCCTAAATCCATATGATCATCATAAGAACAGAAGGGGAGTCGAATTACTACCTCAAATGTGAAGATCTTAGCTCCAAATCCACGGAATAGCAATCTCCTATGCTTCCTCTTGGCTAGTACCTCCTTCTTCTTGCTAAACAACACTCCCAAGGTCAAAAAATGGCTTCCTTCCTCTCCCAAAACGCTCAAGCACTCTAGGGTTTCTCTCTATGACTGGTGACCTCAAATGGCGGCCATAAGGGCCTTTAAATAGTCCCCAAACCCGAGAAATTAGGGTTTCATTAAACAGCGTGGACTCGCCGAGTCCACGTATGGACTCGCCGAGTCCAGTCATTAACCCGGATGGAGATTCGCGACTCTACTCGGCGAGTCTGAGCGCCTACTCGCCGAGTCTCTCTCCAAAACTCAATAAAATACATAATTTAAGATACCTGGGAATCCGGATGTTACAATTCTCCCCCACTAGAATCAGACTTCGCCCTCGAAGTCTCACTCAACAAATAACTCTGGATACTGCTCGCGCATCTCTAACTCCGGCTCCCAGGTCAATTCAGAACCCTTCCGATGTTGCCACTGGACTTGAACCAATGGCACCTCCTTGTTTCTCAAAGTCTTGATCCTTCGATCCACAATCGCAACCGGTCTCTCAACAAAATTCAGGCTCGCATCCACCTGAATGTCCTCTAACGGAACCACTGCCGACTCATCAGCGATACACTTCCTCAACTGAGACACGTGGAAGGTATCGTGAATCTGGCTCAACTCCGTAGGTAGCTCCAAACGATACGCTACCCTGCCCACCCTGGCAGTCACCCTGAAAGGACCAATATACCGAGGTCCCAACTTACCCCTCTTCCTGAATCGGATCACCCCCTTCCAAGGAGATACCTTCAGGAGTACTAAATCACCAACCTGGAACTCAAGCCCCGAGCGACGTCTGTCCGCATAACTCTTCTGGCGGCTCTGAGCGGTCAACAACCTCTGTCTGACCTGCTGAATCTGCTCAGTCGTCTGAAGTACTATCTCTGTACTACCCATCACACGCTGCCCGACCTCACCCCAACAAATAGGAGTCCGACACCTCCTCCCATACAACAGCTCAAAGGGTGGCATACCGATGCTCGAATGATGGCTGTTGTTATAGGAAAACTCAGCCAAGGGCAAGTATGTGTCCCAACTCCCTCCGAAATCCAACACACATGCCCGAAGCATGTCCTCGAGCGTCTGAATCGTCCGCTCACTCTGCCCATCTGTCTGGGGGTGGTATGCGGTACTAAAATGTAGCCTCGTACCCAACTCCTCATGAAACTTCTTCCAGAATCTGGAAGTGAAACGCACATCTCGATCTGAGACGATCGAGATCGGCACTCCATGCCGTGATACCACCTCCCTCACGTACAACTCTGCCAACCTCTCAGCGGAGGAGCTCTCACTGATAGCAAGGAAGTGAGCGCTCTTCGTCAACCTGTCTACAATCACCCAAATTGCATCGACGCCCCTCGCAGTCCTTGGCAATTTGGTGATAAAATCCATGGTAATCTGTTCCCACTTCCACTCGGGAACCTCCAACGGCTGCAACTTACCATGCGGCCTCTGGTGCTCGGCCTTAACCCTGCGACAGGTCAAGCACCTCTCAACAATCCATGCTACATCCCTCTTCATACAGGGCCACCAATAATCTCTTCTCAGGTCCAAATACATCTTAGTGGCCCCGGGATGGATCGAAAACCTCGATCGGTGTGCCTCCTCCATCAATATGGTACGTGTCCCGCCCACAAATGGCACCCATATCCGACCCTG